CTCAGCTGACCAGTTTGTTTGAAGATGTGAGGTGCCAAGGGGGGTGGATGTCCAAGAGTGCCGAGGACAGTCCCGGCTTATCCACTCCACGAATTCTTGGACTCAGGGCATAGGGCGACACCTCGCCCGTGCACGCTTACATAATAAGTTCTGGTACCTAGACCCTCCATCTACCCTCTATTAGAGCCTAAATGCCCCTTATTTGGGACCAGATACCCCTATTTGAGGGTACAAGGAGGGTTGTGGTATTGGGTTCACTACTGACCCCTCAGGCTCGTATTGCCCTGGCTCTTGCAAAAAAAGCATGACCATCGTACTCACACCATCACCGATCTTTTGCATCCTGTTGATTGTTTTGCATGGAGTGATGTTTCGGGTTCGTTCGGAATTCGGCGGCGACGTCTGCGAGTGACTGGAGGGAGATGATTCGGACTCATGGTGTGAAAACATGAGCTATACATTGGGTACGGCCCCCACTCAGTCATAGTTGAATAATACTCATAATATAGATATATTAGGACCTAATTAATTGTAGCCCTATTGTAGACTCTTACTGTATGGGGGCAGTACCTAAGCTATACAGGAGCAATCTCTGCCAAAAGCAGATAATTGTGCCTCTGACAAACATCCTTCCATCCCTTCCAGGAGTTCTGCAGGTGTTTTACCGACATTCACAGAGCTGCCCTTCGAGCTTTCCGCGATCCGGCAGCACAGACTGGGTTGTTGTTAGGGGATTTATTTTGAGTCACCAGACTAGGGATCTATAGTAAACAATATTGCTGCCTTCTTATGGTAACTTAATTTAAGTAAACTCCCGAACAAGAACCTAGCAGATGGTAGGGTCATCACTGCAAGAAGCCGCACCGGCAGTGGCGAGTGAGGTCGGGCAGCATCACTTCTGGAACCTGCAAGGTGCAGATGATTTCGGATAGTTACCTAGAGAGATAGACCTTGTATTAATGCCAAGGACAGAGTTGATAGACGAACCGCGGCCTTGTGTGCTTGTGGTGCCGACTGTGGCATGCTCTTGCAGCTCCCTTCCTCGCTGACTGGCTCGCCTAGTTATCCGAGTGCAGCAGTGGTATTTGTAAATGTAGTAGTCGGCAGTACAAGCAGCAACGACACCGAAGCACCGAAAATTGCCAAAGGTTCCCAGGAGGGTAAAATATGCTGAGCATTCCAGTGATGCGAACTAAGTGTGAGTGTGGGTCCTACATGCTCCTAGTGCAGACGCAAGCTTTTGTTTACATGAACGTTGTTGTGCTTTGTGTAGCTACATTTCTTCGCGCACCTCGATCGAAAGGGTACCGGCACAAAGCGAGGAGGGAGATCGGTGCACAGATGAAGACGACGCCCTGGGCATGTTTTGCTACCGTCGTGGCGCTGCCATCTCGTTTTAAGGCCGTCTACAGCCCCGAGCCCAATCTCTGGACCTCAGAGCCAAACCCTGCTACCATGCCTTCCGGTTGCCCTAAACTTCCTCCTCAAGGAGCCCAAACCCCAATTTTAGGCCCCTGAGCCCCCAGCCTTCACCACGAGCCGAGGCATTGTATGGAGTTCTGGGCCGGCTTGAGACGAAGGAGCTCCGCAGACCCGCTGACACTGGCCGAAGGCCAGGAGGCTTGGGACAGTAAGTAGAGCACTAAGGGTTCAGGGTTTCTGATATGCTTGGGCTGTTTGCGGTGCCGATCCTACAAGGCTTGGGTTTGACAACCTTCTAGTTTGGAGTGTCGCATAGTGGAACTTCGCCAACTATCTGCAACCATGCAGGTTGCCGGCGATTTGCGCGCATACGTAAGAACACGAGTTTCTCCAACATCTCACCCCTTGAAGACATGTGCAAGTAAGACACCGTACTCTCTTGTTCATGCGTTCTGTGCTTATCATCACTGCCCTCAGCCCAGAAACCTCACAGCAATGCGGTATGTATGATCATGGTCCTACTTGTCATCTTCCTGCAAACTAGAAATTCTCTCAGAAGGGGTCCCTTACGACCCTGGCACTACACTGCATGTCCCAGAGCGGCCCTGGCTGGAACTAATACAAGAAGACTCTCAGCCTTCCGTGTATGGCCATAAGGCTGCATTGTATATGGATGTATGTAGATGTGTGTATACATATTTATATGTTTATTATGAATCTGCTGTTTTCCTGCATCGCATAGGTGTCATGAAAAGATGGCAAAAGTTCTTGACAAGTTCCACGAACGATTGCTAGGCATCGCAGCAGTTGCAGCAAGCATCGTTCGAGATTAGCAGCATGCTGCTTACACGGAAGAGCGCCAAGACCATTTTGACAGATGACTACCGCTGATGATAGCCGTGTCCGCTTAATCCTATTGTGGGGAGTGCAAAAACATCTTTCAGAACCAGGGCATGGAGTGAGTCGCCGTGAGAAGCGTGACAAACATCACGGAAGTGCAACAAGCAAAATGAACAGGCAAGTGTTGAAGATTCGGACAGCGTGTATCAAAACCAAGCGATCGAGCAGCTACGGCTACTATACATGAAGGACTCGGCATACAGCCATCGGAAAAGTCAAAACAAGACATGTCGGTAACCATTGCAAGAAGGCTGTTTCATGAGGTGGCAGCAAGTACAACGGTAGTGCTCAATGACCGGTGCAAGACTGGTCGTGCAAGCAAAAGCGGAGAGAAGTGCAATGGCCAGGTTAAACCAGTCGTCGCTAATCACGCAACGACGACGACAAATCGACGACGGCAACGACAACGACGACTACTTACTGCTGGCGCTACTACTGCTGCTGCTGCTACTACTACTACTACTACTTCTACTGCTACTGTTACTGCTACTGCTACGGCTACGGCTACTGCGGCTGCTGCTGCCAATGCCACGGCCTCGGCCAAGACTACTGCCGCTGCTGCTGCTGCTGCTGCTACTACTAGTACCACTACCACTACCACTACCACTACCACTACCACTACCACTACCACTACCACTACCACTACCACTACCACTACCACTACCACTACTACTACTACTACTACTACTACTACTACTACTACTACTACTACTACTACTACTACTACTACTACTGCTACTGCTACTGCTACTGCGACAACTGTGGTTTTGTGCGGTGCTTGTTGCGCAGGGGAGCCTTTGCATCTCAAGACAGCAAACCCCAGAACACTGACCCCAAGAACAGACACATCGATGGGGAAAATCAGTGCCAGCTCGTATCTGCAGCAGGCCAGCAGGGAGAGGACCTGCGACATTTGGTGCACACCAAGCTCCTGGACATGCACCTTTGACTGCAGCGGAGAGAGTTTCTACTTGGGCAGACCTTTGCCTCTTGTCTTCTGACCTTTGGAAGGCACCGTGCCGATTTCATCGCTCGAAATATTTCAGAGGACACCGCCGTATCATGAATGTGGCTGGCTTGCTGCTTTCATTCCGGACCAAGTTTACTGAAGCAGGAAGAGATCGAGCAAATTGCCCAGCCGATTGATCTTGCCTACTCTGCGCCTCTCTCGCAACTGCACAATTCGTTTGGAATTCCTCCTCCCAGCAGTTGCCAGGTAGAGGTGGTGAGAGGCGATTGTGGAACAGTTCACAGATTGTATCAGTCTGCAGCAACGGCCGTTACCGCCTAAACCTCCTAAGCTGACGCAAAATTCAGGTGTGGTATCACGAAGGCACGTTTCCTGCAGGCGGGAGTTCCCTGGGGAGTCGGTAGAGTCACGAACACGCACGAATTTGAGCATGTTAGCATTGTTGTGGTCGCTAGGCACGTCGGTGTTCATGGTCTTTGCTTGGTGGTTATTGCTCTTCTGAGAAGCATGTCTGTTGTTTTGATTTAGGGCTGACGAGCAGAAGGATTACAGGTATTGCCATGATAGCTCTGAACGAGATCAGCACCAACGTGTTTTTCTTGTTTACACCGCCACTGTCAATAATGTAGTATTGAGTATGCATGGTGTCACAGTTCAGTTCATGGTGATGAAGGTGTCGCGAGCACGACGCTAATCACGAGGATGAGGATGACGAAGAAACAAAAGAACAGAGTTGTCATGACCATGAGCATCATCTCATCATTGCTTATGTAGCATGGTTGTATGAGGGAGACGAGGACTTGTGGGAAGACGACGACGACTACTGCTACCACTGTTGCTGCTGCTGCTGCTACTCCTACTTCTACTACTACTTCTACCACTGCTACTACTACTACTACTACTACTACTGCTACTGCTCCTGCTACTGCTGCTGCTACTGCTACTGCTACTGCTACTGCTACTGCTACTGCTACTGCTACTGCTACGACTACTGCTACGACTACTGCTGCTACTCGTACTACTACTACTACTACTACTACTACTACTACTACTACTACGACTACTACTACTACTACTACTACTACTACTACTACTACTACTACTACTACTACTACCTCTACTACTACTACTACTACTACTACTACTACTACTACTACTACTACTACTACTACTACTACTACTACTACTACTGCTACTGCTACTGCTACTACTTCTTCTTCTCCGCTGCTAGTACTATCACTACTACTGCTGATGCTGCTGTTACTACTGCTACCTACTACTACCTACTACCAGGAGTAGTCGTCGTCGTAGTAGTAGTAGTAGCACCAGAAGCAGCAGCTGTAGTAGTGGTCCTGGTCGTAGTTTCGGTTCAGTAGTACAGTAGGAGGAATGTTGCGAAGCATGCAGGGTCATCGAAGTTCTGCACGGTACTGTAAAGGCATTATTCGGCAAACCGTTCTACGGCGATGCAATGATGCAGTCATGGTGAATGTTATGCAGGGATCCTCCATTCAAGGTTTAGCTATGTCATGTTTTCAACTTGCCGCACCAAGACATTATTGCAAGGTATGCTTCCGACCGTGGTTGGGCATTTGCCTCCACTCAGCAGGAGATAGGAGCCTTGACTCCTCGAAGGTGCTGCGCTCCTTAAGGGAGTGAGGCAAGCCTTCCCGGAAGTGCTGATAAGTAAGCTTCTGTCTACCCTGCCATGGAGCTTGCGGGAGTGGATGCGGTGTGCATCATCTTTCTCCAAGGGATCACTGCGGTAGCGTTGTGCGCGGTTGTGGTGCAATCTCTATGCAAGGGTCAACTCCCCAACATGGTCGTTAAGATGCAGTACGGCTTCTGCAGTCTCCGAGACCACTGGACTCAGGTTGCGAAGCCCAAGCCAGGCAACGCACGTGTGCAGGCGAAGTTTGTCGCCACTTTGTGCAGTCTTCTCACCAACATCGCCAGGATTTCAGCAGTCGCCCTTTTTCTGCGACTGCTGGCTATTCAGGGCCCACTGATGAGAAATCAGCCTCATCAGCTGCAGCCTTCACTGGACATCTCAAACCTCATCTCATATCCCATCATGTTCTTTCTGGCCGTGTTCCACGACAAGGTCATCTCCGGCAGAACATTGGATGTTTGGTATGTCCTGCTGCAAGCGTTGTGTGTGATTCCTTTGCTCTCCACCGCGCCACAGGATGTTACCAGTGTCTCCCTGATCACTTTGCTTTCTCGCGTTACGTTGGGTTTGTGCCCCACGCGTGGGTGGCTTCCATTTGTTGGGAACGTGGTTCACTGGATCTTGGCTGTGAAGCAGGTGCAGTTCCAATTGCAAAGCGACGTCTTTCTCGCACAGTCAGCTGAACTCGTTCTGCTATTCTCCGGCGTGTTCCCCCTCAGGCACGCATTGTATGAAAACGTCAGGATGAGTTTTGAGCTGAACACACGCACCATTGAGCTCTCAGCGGTGTCGGGACTGCTTCTGGGATACTGTGATGCAGTGGTCGAAGTTGATAGCGGGCTGAAACTCACGGACGACTCTCGGCAGTTGTCCACATTGCTTCTGCACGGGCATGGCATATCTGCTGGAAGTTTGGCTGGCCACGACTTCCTCAGCTTTTTCCATATGGACGACAGGGAACACATCAGCGTGTCATTGGGTGCGAAAAACCAGAACACGCAAGCCTTGGCTCTCAATGCCCGGATGCAGGATTGCTTGGGCAACTTCGTGAAAGTGGAGATCTTATTTACATCCTTCCAGAATGCAGACGGCGAAGAGTGTCGCTTGGTCGGAATGCGTGAATTCCAGGACTTCAGCTCCGTGGCTGTGCCGCTTCCTACGGGTCTTGTGCCTTGGATGGTCTTAGTAGCCTGTCCTGGTCCCGATTGAGTGCCCTTGCTGGGTGCCAGCCCCAATACATAACGCTTTGCTTTGCACCCTGATGATCACGCATCCATAAACGCGTCACGTTTTAAATTGGTTCCTACACCAAGGCACTCTCACCAGCAGATGCAAGTCCATCGCAGGAGCTTCTGTTGTTGCAGAGAGGCGTACCATGATATGCCATGTGTTGCGAGTAGCTCTTGAGCAGAGTTTACTGTGATGGGCAGAGGATCTTTGTTCCGTTGCCTTTGATGCCACGTCCTTCGACATCCTCTCCGTGTCCGCGGCCTTCAAGAAGCTTTGCTCCTCAGTGTGTGTTGGATCCGGGTTTGAGAGCTGGGATAAGCAAGCCTCTTTCCGGCACAGGCATCCGTCGGAGGGTTGTAAGTTGCGAGTGCAGCGTCGTTGTCGGGCGACACTGAGCTAAGTGTTGACTCAGCGTGAATTTGCCTGGTTGCTGAGCATTACTTTAACAACGCTTCAGCTTCGTGCCTTTGATCTCCCAAACCAGAGAGAGAGCGCAGAGTAGTAGATCTACATTGCAGCAAGTCAAGTCCTTGTGGTCTTGATCATAGCCTTGCCAGCTGTGGCGGCAGTAACGATGACGTGGGACGAGTGAAAGGAGGATTGCAAGCTCAACGACAACAGAGTTTCTTTCAGAACGGCATGTCAGAATGTTCGCACGAAGGGCGCAAACTGAATGCCCGCAAAGCGTTTGTAGCATGTGATCCTCCTCCTCCTCCTTCTCCCTCCTCTTTAGACAACGCCAGCATCACGACGGTGCTTCCCAATACTACTTACTGACTACCAGCTCAAACCACTGCTGCTACATCAACTAATTACTTCTACCACCACTTTTACTACCCACTAATACCACCACCACCACCACCACCACTAATACCACCACCACCACCACCACCACCACCACCACCACCACCACCACCACCACCACCACCACCACCACCACTACCACTACCACTACCACATGACGGTCTCGTGTTGGTTTGTGTAGTCCATCTGTTGGCGACTACGTGTTCGCTTTAATGTCAAGTTTTGAACTTTCCCTAGGGCTCAACCGAAATGCATCTGAGTGCAAGACGGCCCGTGCAAAAGGCCACACCCTTCCCGAGGCTTCGAGAATGGGTGCGAGGACATCGCAGATGGCATGAGCATCTTCGACTTGTCTCCAGGTTGGCGCCCTCAGAAGAGCTGCTTTCGAACTCTTGTGCATCTCTTGTAATTGTTTTGGATTGTGTAGACCCTCACTCTCGTTGAGTTCAAGATCCCTTCGCAGGCAACCATCCTAATTCTCTGGCCGGCTACATCCAGACCGCTGTGAACGCCCTTGAACCCGAGAAGTTGGAAGGCCCTGGGTTTGGGGGTACATATGGAAATTGAAAGACTGCGATTCATGAACGCACAATACCGACAATAATAATGATACGATTAACAATAATGGTAGTAATATAACAGTAAGAAAGATAATAGTAAGAACAAGTTTACTAATGTTGCGTCCGAGGGTTGGCGGCCTGTAGCTTTGGGGATGAAGGGGTTTACGCTTGGGTTGGAGGTTTTGGCGCTTCGAAAGCGAGGGTGGTTTAGAGCACGAGGCTTGATGATTCAAGTGCGGAGGAACCAGGGTAGGCTTCCACTGATCGGTCCGCTGTCAGTGTATGTATGCAAGATTTGCCACAGGAGCAATAGCCTCACCAAGAAGTAGTACTTCTGCATGTAGTTTTAACAGGACGGAGGAAAGAACAAATATGAGCAGTTCGCAGAAACACTTTGGCAAACCTATGTCTCGGGTTGATTTCGATCAGGCTGACTGAGCAGATGAGAGTCTAATGGGTCAGTGGTCAGGCAGGTGTATAATGATACCGTTATCACTGATACTTGCAGCAACATTCCAAAGCCGCAGCCCCAGACCACACTTGGAGGTTCATGGGTAATTATGAGTAGGGTATAAGTCCTCTTTTACGGGTTATAATTAGGGTTGTCCTACTTATTAGCCCCACTTATAATCACCCATGAACCTTCGAGTAGGCCCTAAACCCTACACCCTTATAGAATCCCTGTAGATCACTTTAAACGGACCCTTTTATAAGCCCTAAAATCCCTATAATAATAAACTCTAAAAGCCCGAAGCAAGCAGGAGACCTTCTGATGATTCGCGACCTGGAGCTATTCGGCAATACGAAGGTCGAGGCGGCTCTTCAATTTCAGCCCCTAGCTTGCAAAAGGCCTCATGGTTCATAAGGGGGTTTCCGAAAATTAGGGGTACCTTATAATAAGGATCCTACCATTTAGGGTACCATATGAGGGTTCCCTATTTTCGGAAACTCCCATGATGTTCTGGCGTACCTTGCCTAACTCTGTCGATTTGTGTCCGTGACATTCCAAGCTGTCGATCAACCGCTCTACCGTCTCTGTCCATGCCTGTATTTCTTCTTGGTACTTAGAAACAAGTTTTATTTTTTGGTTATTATAATCCCTAAGAAACAGCTAAAATTATATTTTTTGCTAGGGTTCTAAGTTCAGTATAGGTTTGTCTCGGTGAACAGAAACGCAGGCGTGCCCTTGTGTCGATGTTTTCATGTGCTTGCTCTCAGAGTGCAACCTCTTAAAGAACCTTGGGCAGGTAATATAGGGGCCTGAATAATTAGAAGAGGGTTTTTGGGCCCATTAGACTATAATCATACTATGGAACCCCCAAAAATGGTATTGGCTGTTATTCAGGCCACTATATTGACTGCCCATAACATCCGTGCTCGAACGTCTTGGAATGTGGGCCGCCTGTGTTTAACAGGCTTGGGCTTCAGGCCTGCATGGCACGCCAATGTTCGAGCTGTTTTGTTTCGCTGAACAATCCAAGTCTGTCTCTTCGAAGCGTAGCTGTTGTCATTGTTCGTGTTGCTCTTGTGTTGACCATGCTGCTCCGAGCAAGGACGGACAAGATGCTGGATGCCATTGTAGGCACCTTGCACATCAATCCTGCCCCACCGACGCTGATGTTAACAGCGATCAACTTGGCGAGATTCTCTGCCCCGTGCCAGCAATTTACACATGACCGAGCTGATAGCTGGTAGACGTCAAGCATGGGCGAAGACGTTGTTGCACAGATTTCATTAAACCCCAATATAGCCCTAAAAGGTCTTAAAGCTCGAATTCCCAAACCCTGACCCCACACAGCGCTAATTCGGGACCCAAACCTGTATAACACTCTACCGTAAGCCGCTCTCAGGGAAACGGACCTGTTCGCAGCTCAAAGGGTAGTGGATGCTCGAAGAGCTCACACAGTTCCCGCCCCTCGGCTTATGCACGGGTTGGGGTTATTGGGGTCTGAATGATTCGACTAGTGTATGCCTTAAACTGCAATATATCACAAAACCGTATTCTAGCTTTAAGGCCCCGCGTGTTTTGGTCGTGGTGCTGGTGCTGGGCATCGTTGCAGCAGTCGTGGTAGGGGTAGTCCGTACAAGATAGAAAGCACGTCGAAGAGAGAATGTGGGTAGCGATACAAAGCAAATGCCAATACTGAGTTCAATAACGAACAGAATCGTAGCCAAATGCTGAAGGCATGAAGCTACAAAGGTACACACATACCAGCAGGCATAGACGTTACTACAAGAAGAATTCAGGCACGACTCTTACGAACTTCTATGCGCATCGAATCCATGTGGGAGGATGCCGTAGGACGTTGCCAGGCAGGAGCATGCACTTTAAACAATCAGGTACATGGCTCGGACTATTGCTCCCGGATTACGATCCCCTCCCCCATGCAACCGCATCAAGAACAGGCACGCCATAATACCCTAAAATGGGAGTTTCCGAAAATGGGGGGCCCTAATATAGTACCCTAAATAGTACATGTCTGTCACAACGTGACAGACTGTCGAAGCTTGTTGCTCTCGGCCAGGTCGCCGGAAAGGTGGTGCAAGCGGCAAGCATGTTCGCCACGGTAGTATTCTCGATCTTCGGAAGCAGGTTATGGCCCTGTAAGCTTGGAGGCCAATGGTACCTGTGTGTCGGAAGAACAGTTAGTTTCGTGCGGCTTGCTCCAGTGGGGCTTCCCACCAATTGCTTGAAATTCCAACTTCCCGCCTTCTCGTGTAGCGCTGTCCTTGTGTTTTATCAAGTATCCCCTACGGATGCCGTGGTACCCTGTCTTGAAGCAGGCTTGCTCGCATACGACAAGAGCACTCCATTGTTGCCGTTTAGTTTCGTCCTGTTTTTATATGCGCTGGGGCACCACGGCTGCCAGACACGATTAAGTGTCCCTGGGCCAGCGCGACACGTTAAACCCTCTGATGTTGATGGGTGCAGCAGCAGAAGCAGCGAGGTGGCACTGTGACCTAGTGGTAGTTTGCACTAGTGGTAGTTTGCAAAATTGGGGCAGGCATGTCAATGCCGCAGTACATCTTTGATCAGCTGCAGCGAGGGAACTTGTATATGACAACTGCCACACTGACAAAAGTCGTGTGCGTGTTTGAGACAGGTTCAGAGCAGGATGAAGAGAAGACGGCAGAAACATGGTTCGTAAATGCTAAGTCTGCTAAGTTATGAGCTTTTCAGCAGATCCAAGAAAGGGCAATGCCCGTCAGAGCATCCTTCGTCCGACTGCTCTAGTCGAATTCTTTGTGAGTTGGTCATCAGGACGGGCCCTCCAGGCCCCTGCAAACTGTGCTGTAAGGAGGAGGTGTCCTGAGAAGCGCTTGCAACAGCTTGCCTATGCCAGAAGTGAAACAAGGACCACCTCTGCACCTGGTTGCATCGAGTCGCTATTCTGCGTCATGCAGAATTAGAAGCCGGTATGAGACGTTGCTCAGGGTTAAACTCGGGTTGATAAGGCCGACTGCAAACAAAAATTGACAATGTAGCTGGTAATGCCAGGTATAAGCCTCAGCCTGTTCCGTGCACAGCACCTATATTCAAGTAGGCGCAGTTCTTGCTGTGCAATTTCTGCTAATGCTAGGTTCGTATGTTCGATCACATACTGCTACAACAGCCCAAAATTGACATTCCCATCGCTGGTCAATTGCTTGTCCCACACACCCGTGCGACTTTCCTCTACTGAAACCATCATAAATCCCAAGTCTGATGTTCTCGTGGGCCGAAAGACTGTCTGATGCTTAGTAGGGAATGGGGGAATGGGTTCTGGGGGACTATTATAAGGAGTACTTTAGGGATCCATTCCCCCATTCCCTACTAAGAAACCAGACAGAGGAGGCATCGCGATGAGTCGTGGGCAGACGTAGTCCCCCGGGCACAAGCGTGTAGATAGGAGTCTCGGATCCTTTCATACTCCTTGGTGCTGCTTCGCTCCCGAAGGGAGCGTAGCTAGCCCATCGCAGAAAACTTGTTTTACTGAATTCCTTCTGCCATGGAGCTTGAAGGGGTGGAGGCGTTGTGCATCTTTTTCTTGCAAGGCATCACTGCAGCAACTTTGTGCGCGGCTTTGTTACAGTCTCTATGGAGGGGTCAGCTGCCCGACATAGTTGTTCAGATGCAGTATGGCTTCTGCAGCCTCAGAGATCGCTGGACTCAGCAACCGAAACCCAAGCCTGGCAACTCCCGCGTCGAGGCGAAGTTCGTGGCTACGTTGTGCAAACTCTTGACAAACGGCTGCAGGGTCGTAGTTGTGGCACTCTTTCTGCGGCTGCTTGCCATTCAAGGCCCTCTGCTGAACCGTCAGAATCATCAGCTGCATGCTTCGTTGGATGTCTCCAACATTATCTCATATCCAATAGTGCTCTTTCTGGTCATGTTCCACCACAGGGCCATTTCCTGCAGAACGTTGGATGCTTGGTATGTCCTGCTGCAAACGCTTTGCGTGATTCCGTTACTTTGGACTGCAGCAGCAGATGTCACCAGCGTCTCCCTCATCACTTTGCTTCCTCGCGTGATGCTGGGTTTGTGCCCGAAACATGGGTGGCTTCCATGTCTTGGGAACGTAGTTCACTGGATCTTAGCTGTGAAACAGGTGGAGTTCCAATTGCAAAGCGATGTCTTTCTCGCGCAGTCAGCTGAACTCATGCTGCTCTTCTCCGGCGTGTTCCCCCTCAGGCACGCACTCTACGAAAATGTCAGGATGAGTTTTGAGCTGAACACACGCACCATTGAGCTCTCGGCGGTTTCGGGATTGCTTCTCGGATACTGTGATGCAGTGGTCGAAGTTGATAGCGGGCTGAAACTCACGGACGACTCTCGGCAGTTTTCCACATTGCTTCTGCACGGGCATGGCATCTCTGCTGGAAGTTTGGCCGGTTTCGACTTCCTCAGCTTTTTCCATGTGGACGACCGCGAACACATCAGGATGTCGTTGGGTGCGAAAAGCCAGAGCACGCAAGCCTTGGCTCTCAACGCTCGGATGCAGGATTGCTTGGGTAACTTCGTGAAAGTGGAGATCTTGTTTACGTCCTTCCAGAATGCTGATGGCCAAGAGTGTCGCTTGGTCGGAATGCGTGAGTTCCAGGACTTCAACTCCGTGGCTGTGCCTCTTCCTACGGGCCCGGTGCCTTTGGCTGCTCTAAGAACACTGTGGCATGGCCGCCTTTTCGTTGTTTTCTGAGCAACTAGGAATCCATTGTAGTTGGCCCGCTGTGGAGCGCACGTTGTGTGCACGGAACGTATCGACCCAACCCAAGTCCTCGGGGTGCCGTCCCTCGACAAGACTGAATGATGTATGATCGCTTCTATAAGTCCGACATCGTTTGCTTCGAAGCAGCCTTCAAGAGAAACCTAGGCACACTCGCCTGCAGCGAGCCCTCCGGAGGACGCTTCAGAGGCTGTTCAGTTAGTCTCCAAGACAGGGCTGCCTTGGTGCGCAATGTATAGAGTCGGCATCTTTTGTTTCTGGGTTTTACATTGCCAGACGGAGGACGCCTGTTCCGTTGCATTTGACGCCACCTCCTTCGACATTCTCTCCTTGTCCGGAGCTTTCAAGAAGCTTTGCCACTTGGTGCTGACCATGATGTCGCGCTTCTTAGCAACTGGTGCGTCTTCAGATGCCACCAGGGTTTCAACCGGAAGCCTATGACCCCAAGATGCCAAAGTCTAAAGAGGCTGGATGTGTCTACCTACTTAGCAGGATGTCTGTGGAACCTTTAAGTGTTCGTTCACCTCAGGTACAACTAATTCCCCAAGAAAGAAGCAGATGGATGCACGCTGTGGATACAAACGGGCAAAAGCTTGAACGATGCATGTACGCTTGTAGGTTTGCATGCACGTATGCATGTAAGGTCATGTATTTAAGCATAGGGCATGTATGCGTGTGGGTGTATAAGTATGGATGATTGTATGTATGTACGTGCGTACGTAAGTAGGTATGTATGCACACACACACACGCATATATATATATATATGTATATATACACACACATGTATATGTTTGAATATCTGTATGTGTGTGTATATATATATATATATATGTATACATACATGTATATGCACTGTGTATACGAAATGTAGCTATCCGTATATGTGATTGTACATGTATATGTATATGCATGCATGTATGTATGTGTATGTATGTATGCTTTTGGTGGCAGCCGCAAAGTTGGAAGATGCGCACCCAAAATTCCAGCACCCCACAACTGGAATAAAACACATCTTCCAACTTTGGATTCTTCCAAGTTTGCAACCTGCCAACTTTTGATTACGGCATGAACCGCTCCAAATGCCGGACCTAAAGTTGGAAGATGGGACCAAGTCAGACCCAAAATTTAACTGCAGGTTCTCTCTCTCTCTCTCTCTCTCTCTCTCTCTCTCTCTCTCTCTCTCTCTCTGCAATATTGGAGCGGTCGCAATAGTTGCAGTTAATCTCCCTCTGCAATACTGGAGCGGCCATAGTAATTGCAGCTTCTCTCTTTCTGCAATACTGGAACGGTCGCAGTAATTGCAGTTTATCTCCCGCTGCAATACTGGAGCGGCCATAGTAATTGCAGCTTCTCTCTTTCTGCCATACTGGAGCAGTCGCAGTCATTGCAGATATTTCCCTCTGCAATACTGGAGCGGCCATAGTAATTGCAAATTTTCTCTCTCTGCAATGTTGGAGCGGTCGTAGTATTAACTTGCAGTTTTTCTCTGTGCAATACTAAAGCGGTCGTAGCAGTTTCAGTTTCTCGCTCTCTGCAATATTTGCGTGGTCGCAGTTGCCGTTTCCCTCTCTCAGCAATACTGGAGCGGTCGTAGTAATCGCGGTTTCTCTCTCTGCATTACTTCCCACAAACCGCCATGCGCAGTTACAGACATAATCGTTAACAGACAGGGACCCAGAATTCGCAAGCACATGAGCAAAAAGTGTTTAAAGGGAAAGCTGCCCAATCGAGAGCTGGAAAGCAGGCGAAGAGACACCGAAGCAATGTGTAATCTGAGCTACGGCAGGCATGGCCTACGGGCACACACAGGGAGCCAGGACTAAAATTGTAGCAATCAATCAGCTCGGGACTTGCGTCCGAGTGCAGTTAGCTTTCAATTCAAGGCGGTGCTTCCCGACCACCGTATCTTCAGGTCTCGAGAACGGAGCCGACGACATTTCGGAGGGCATGAGCATCTTCGACTTGTCTACAGGTCAGGAGCCTTGGATGCCCCGAAACATCAAGCAGCACGATTCCAAGGAGAGATTACGTTTCGCGAGCTGAAGAGGGTTCTGCCTTTTACCACCGTCGTCGAAGGCTTCATCATCGTGCCCATCAACACCAGTCATCGCTATCAAGATGTTGACCACTTCGAGCACAATTAACACTGACATCATAATCATGTGCATCAGTATCACCAACAGAACTGGCATCGACATCATCTTCATCATCGCACGGGTCATGGCTCGAAGAATACGATAATATTGCCCATCATTCTTATCAGCCGTCATCATCGTCGACATCCGTCCCGAACGTCCCTCATCACTCAGATCACCGTGGTCACACGCGTCCTCTTGTCAAAATTTATCGTCCTCCTCTTCGCAGTTTTCGTCTTGGCTGTCGTCGGCGTAAGCCCCTATCATCTCCACGTTTGCAAGACTCCGGCGCCCTGGGTCTCCATCCGATGCAGGCAACGATCCCGACTCCCTCGCCGGCTATATCCAGACCGCTGTGAATTCACTCGAACCTGAAAAGCTGGAAGGCCTCGGATTGGCCGGTTTTGCCTTTTTGGGGGTTTCGGGGCTTCGTCGGCGAGCTGGGAGTTGCAGACGTTGCTGGCGGTTGGTCTGGCATGCAGGCCTGAGGTTCAGATCGAGAGCTTAAGAATGCTCAACTGGTGTCAGTTGTGGCCTGGTCAACTGTGCGTTTTCACAAGTCTTGTCGACTCCAGACTCACATAAACTGTCTTTGATGGGCCGAGCCTTGCCCGTTAGAATCCTTTCCGAGAAGTGTTGCGAAGATGAGGCGCACTGCGCGCACGTTGTTGCGGCGAGCATTGTCGTGCAAATGCGTAAATCCACGGAATTGTAGTGGTTCGCAGCAAAGAAGCGTCGAGAATTACCCACAGCTGCACTCGTTAGCACACGTTTTGCCCCTCCGTGTTTTGTCTTGCCTGACCAGCGCACAAGGTGAACAGCAGCTCAAGACCCCAAATGAAACTAGCCTTCATTCTCATGGGTTCAGACGCAGTTCTTGGAAAGCAAGCTCTGGCAAGCCCCCATTTGAGCGGCCCCATATGCGAACTACCCATCGAAGCCCCTTTAGTCTAGAACCCTTATTTATTTATTTATATATATATATATATATATATCGCTCTTAGGAGCCCTTACAGATTCCCTTACAGGAACCCTTTAAGCTTTTCGGTGCAGGCGACCTCCTGCTCATTCGCGATGTGGTTCTCTTTGGCACGACCAAGGTCCAAGCGACACTTCAGTTTCAGCCCCTCGCTGAGTCAACATGTGTATACTTATACGCGTGCTTGCAAAACGTGAAGGTTAGTCTTTGTTGCAGTGCCTGGAGTGTGGCACATACATACATACATACGCATTCACACACACGTACACGTACACATACACATACAGCATATACGTATACACATGAGGGCGGGAGGTTGGACCTGAGGGGAGGGGAGGGGGGGACGTGGAGGGGAGGGCGGAGGGAAGCGTAAGTTTGTGTAGCTAGTTGCGCCTATGTGTGCACAAGTGATTTCATTTATCTTCACTGTTGCTAGTGCATGATAACGATATGTTTGTTTATCTTTTGAAAATAGGCCACGAAAGAAAGCATAGTTGTATTTTGTTTAAAAGCATGTTGAGTGCCGCTCAATGCCCGTGCCGCAGGTGAAAATGCCTCATGTACTTGTAGGATTGTGTGTGTGTGTGTGTCCTGCAGCACGTGCTTCTCAGATGCATGGCGAAATATGCAGTAACCGCTTTGCAGTCTGTATATAACTGGAAAGGCAGACACGCATGCAGAGTAAGTCGTTGCTGCTGCTGCTGCTGCCCTTAGTTGCTGTCGGGGGCTTACACTTGGCAAGTGCTGGTGGCTTGGGAAACCTGACAGGGGTCAGGGGAGCCCACAGCTTATTTAGGCATGCTTCGGCTACAAAGGTAGTAGCCGAAAACGAGGTCTTCTGCAAGTGAAGCTGCAGCTGTAGCATGCGACACATGCAGTGCAAGCGTACATGCTGCCCATTGAAGGCTGGTGCAAGCTAAACTTGCAAACGCGACCGAGGACGGACAAGATGTTGGATGCGATCATAGGGAACCTATGCATTGACGCGACACCTCCGACAATGACGCTGACAGCCACAAATCTGGCAAAACTGAACGTGCCAAGGCGATAATTTAATGCATGAGGCAGATGCTACTGTATCTGTCGCAGGTGAGACCTGAGGATGTTGTTTGAGAGATGCGGGGATAGAGAGTCAGTCTGATGCGAACGGCTGCACAAAGCTACACTGAGCAGTGGGACCGAGATGCGACATGCTAGTCGGATGACTAATTTAGGGGCCTAGTAGTTACCTATACTATTTTAGGGGGTTCCTAATTATATTTGTAGTATAATGCCCCCCAAAACCCTATTCTAATATTTTTAAGTCCCCTATATTATAGTACCCTTACAGATCCCTTATAGACCCGTTTTGAAGGAAGCCTATTCTAATTATTAAGGCCCCTATATTTACTATATTTGACTGCAGACTTCCGCTTCCTCATGAGCCGTCCCGAGGGGCACCGACAGCGTTGTGGCTCCAACAGAAGCCGAAGCTCGAAGAGCTCTCGCAGTTCCCGTCCCTCGCCTAGCCGGGTTTCCGGGGCCGGTTCTTCAGGGACTTTGAGATTGCGAAGGCGTGGAAGTCTCAGAGTGGAAACACCGAGTAGCCGGTCAGCAGTGCGGGTTGTCTCCGGGCCTCGTAAGGGCCTACGACTTAAGCAGAGCATGCATGTTTAGAACAGTGCACCCGCAGGGTCAGCAAGAATTCGGATCCATTCGACCAGGTCGGCGTCGAAGCGGTGAAACTGGCGAGCATGTTCGGCAGGGTAGTATTTTCGATCTTCGGAAACAAGTTATGGCTCTGTAAACATTTATTTTGATCTCGAGCGCCCGCCCATATATGGCCCAAAGCGATGTGGATGTATATGGTTCTACTATGTTCTACCCAATTGTCGATACAGGAATGACGCGACTTGCTAGTCGGGTCAAGTACTGCAGCAAGAACGCAGCACTTGTTCATCACACCTGCGAGTGTTTTAGCCTACAGGAAACACGCAGCAACAAAAACTATAGGACACTTTGCAGAGCTACCAACACAACAACTGCCAGTTCCTCGGTGTTTCACGCAGTCATTAAGAGCCATAGCCCTGTCTGTTTTGAGCTCACTTCGACTCAGTGCTGCAGAACCTTGCAAGCCTGAGGAGGTGTTTCCCACGCCCTAAAGAGTTTAGGGCTGGAGTTTTGCACCCGGCACCGCAGCAGCTAAAGATGAGAAGGCAGTGGCAATAATGAGTGTGCGACTAGCGGAGCCTCGCAGGCAGAGATGAAAATCTGCCACGAAGCAAATCGGAGTTGGACAAAGCGAGCTGAGCGTACATTTCCCAACTCCGCCAAACTCCCAAGTACCCATAGGCCCCAAAGTAGTTCCTTTTTGTGGTTCATATATTGAATTCTAGAAGGTAGTCCCCAAAAAGGCACTACTCTGGGGCCTACGGGTAGGCCTTTGAAGCCCAAGCCGCTGACAAAGTCGCGGATGCTTTTAATGGGTACAAGTCAGAGGCCTTCTTCAGGCCTTTTCGCCGTGCTCTGGAGGTGACCTGGGCCGGCCGGGCCCCGGTCCCGCAGGGCTTCTGTGCAGTTTGGGACCTGAGAGGAGATGCTTCCCCCATTTCACTTCGATGCCATGAAGAAGGCCATTGCAAAGATGCACGCATGATCCGTGCTCGATGCTTCATGAGTGCTGACACTGCCTCATGTTTCTGCCCGTTGGAGGTTGCTTATGTGCCGGCAGATCGATCGCAGATGCCCGTGCTCCTGTTAGTCATCCCAGCCCTTGCTGTTGCGGCTCTCTCGGTACTGCTGAAGGAAAAGCTTTGCGGAATTGACTTTTGCTCGTACATCTCACCGCAGTGTGGAACATGTAAAGACTTGTGAAGCCCAGAGACAAGACGACCTGAGCACTGCAACGCGATTGAAACCCGTAGAATGCAGCCCGACGATGTGCTGCTGCCTTGCATTCTGGTCCTGCAGTTCTTTACAGCGCTGACTCTGGCTGTTCACCTCTACAAGTGCATTCGACGGAAGGTGCTCGCAACGGGCTGATTGTGGAAACCGGAGGGGGCCTGGGTATAAGACCTCCCGCATTTTTGGGCAGGCATAGCATTGGACATATTACCTATACTATTTTTTTGCGGGGGGTTCCTTATTATTATAGTGATAGTATGCACTTAAATACCGCCCGCAAATCCTTGTCGCCTCCCCTAGCCGTAGTTACGCCGCCGCAGTCTTGCATTTAGACTACGAGGTGCCAGCAAACTGAGAAAACAGGATCTGGTATCATCTATGGTGATGAATTTATGACAGGCCCGTGCTTTGCCGGTCGAAATGCGTGTTTTGCCTCAGGGGTTGGTTCCAATGTGTCTTGCCCAGAAGCTGTGGCGATCAGATGTTCAACATTGCGATGTATTGCGATTACATCAGTAACCGAATGCGCGCTACTTTCACTGCCCCATGCCATGCAGAACAATTTCGAGGGTCTATTTGTGATGTCGTGGCTTCCTGTCTTTGGTTTTTTGCAGTTTCACGTGCCGTCATTGAACACCGGCTGCGGAATCCCAAGAATGTGCGCATGAGGGCTGGGCAATACCATAAGCAAGGCAGGCTAGGCTCTGAAATGCGAGCATTACGGCGCGAGTGCTCGTCGACAGATTTTGAGTATAGACCGATGTATAGACACAATGCACACGCGGGGGTCCTGTGCTTCGGGTTAGTGACATAGCATGCGGTTGTTTGTATAGCACTCTCATGTGATGTAGCCGAATTTGCCAGTACGGGCTACGCACATGGCATCTTGCCATTGCTCATATTAAATAGACTCCCTGATACATCGTTGTCGCTCTTCGACTGGCCAGTACATGACATGGATCCCTGATCTTACTGAGTGTGCGTTGTCCCTGATTGCAGCCGCTTTGTTTAAAACAAGAACTTCCACAAAGTTTTCGCGTCTGCTGCAGGAGTTGCCAAAGTTCCTGCGCTATGTGCGGGCAGCCTACCTCCGTTGCAGAGACATGCTCGGCAGCGACACCCGGGAAGCCCGGGACAGATGCAGCTCGGTGTTCCTGGCGTTCGCTTGACAGCCGATTTTTGTATACATTGACCCATTACATATATATATATATATATATATATATATATATATATATATATATATTTGTATATACACACGTATGCCATGTACGTGTAGACCTCTCTGGGTACGTGGGGCTGCCGTTGATCCTCCTGAGCACGAATACACGGCAGTCACACTCTGACATATTCCTTTTTTGGTGCCGAGCTTCCAGTTTGGGAGCGGTAAGGCATGGAGAACCGAGTGAACAGGAAGTTCCATGAGACACTGTGCAACCTTCTGGTGGCCAGGCAGATTTTTTGGCCCGTTTGTTCACCGTGTTGAAGGTGCCTGGCTCTTGTTGATTTGTGCTTGCACTTGGGATACTGGTTTGTACAATTCCTTTTTCCCAAAAGGATCGTTCCCGTCGTCTCCAGACTCCTCAGGTTGCAGGAAGCAACCTCATGGTGATAGTCTTGTTTTTCCGATTGAGACTTGGCAGCAGGATGTCCGTGGATGACGCATCGTTGCGGTGCTTCAGGAAGATCTTCGCATGAAGATGTAGGGTGTGAGGGGGTTTTCAGCCCAATCGTCTTCAAGCCTGCTTATGATGTCAACTCCGGTAAAAGCAAGGGGTGGGGGCGGCTTTTCGAGTGGCGCCATGAAAATGGAAAGTTGGATTCGGTTATCTCAGGAGCGTTTACCAATGGCACCTGCTCACCAATGCAGATCATCTGCTGTCTCCGGCCCTGGTGCCTGGGCCAAGCCTAGTGACCTAATGAGTTGGAACGAGGTCCGAGTTGCTTGAGACATTATCGTTTTCGAAGCTTCTCTTGCCTCTTTGGACAGGACATCTCTAGCGTGGCCGGGTATGCAGTGGTCCTTTTCATGATCTCATTCAGGCACGGTGGTGGGAAAAGGATGAAATGGTGACTGTTCTGCCCTGAGTTTGAGGAGTGCTGTTTGTTGCTTCACCGGTTTCGAAGATACAAGCAGATCCCAAAGCCACTTCAAGACACAAGATGTATTCAGCCAAATTCAGACAGCGCGAGCGTGGATGGCGGTCTAGAAGGCAACAAAAAGTCACTGCAGCCGGAACACTTCAGAGGCTGCACTGACAAGGCCGTTGTGGTCCAACAATTTCCAGATTTTCGACACCACCTTAGACTTTTGGAGGGGACGTCTCAGTCAGCGTTTGAAATGCCGTGTTCCTGCCCTGACGCCTCGCAGGCAGCTCGTCACACCACGGAGCCTCGACCTGTGGTATTTCGCGCTGCAGGGTGCCTTCGCTCGCATCATCTCGCATCTATGGAAGTTGGCCCCAGGTTAAGCACTAGAGACGTCCGAAGGCTTGGTCTTTGATGTCTTATGGAGGCGTCTCATGCTCTTGCCAACGTGCCATCCACGTTTTGCGGCTTTGGCTGCTCCCGCCACTGTCCGGTGCATTTCCGGCCATCAGAACTTGTGCACCCTCCACAATGCCCTGCATCTTGTGGTGGGATTGCCGCCACATCCCAAATCGCTCTTTGAATGTCACATCCCTCCAAGGTTTTGACGAATTTTGATGGGCTGTGTGCGGGTGCGATGATTTAGAAAAACGTCCTCGAATGCGTCCTAATGCGTCTTGGGACTGAAGGTTGCTGCTGAAATGCGCTTGGTTGGCTATGTCCGATTTGAGCTAGTTACTGGTGGTGCAATCCTGTCCTTCGTCCTTCGCTGTTTGGGGACTTTGCCGGCATATGTTGTTTTTCTTCAGGGCCTCGCGACATGGGCCGGCCGTGCATCCAGTTGATTATTGAGCTCAAGGTGAAAGGCGTCGCACATCGCACACTCCAGAGGTATCAAAGGATTTCAGAGCTGAACATCCGAGGCTTGAACATTTTGCCCATTGCTGTGGCTGATCCTGCCAACATAGCGCCTCAACTCAAGCTGGCTCAAGCTTGTGATGCGGAAAGTGTTGCAAGCGCACAGCAGCAATCCACATCTGGGGTAGGTTCATAGTTGCAATATACAAGATGCAGGGAAGAATAACTGCATGCCTAAACCCCCAAAAAAGATTAAAGTAACAGCCCAAAAACTAGGCCATTATTCTACAAACTTTTGGGGTCCAGGTGATGGTAATGAGTAATGAGGATCGCAGAACTGTGGAGCAGATAGTCCCCACGACAGCCGGGTAAGAAAGCCAGAGGAACGCGCTACTCGCAGCAGAGTTAGTTGTGGTGATCGAATGAATGACAGGAATGCTGTCAACTGTTTTGGATCCACTTCAAGATGCAAGCCTGTGGACCAGGAATGTCTAGATTATGACAGCTACGATGGTGAATGTGACGAGACTGCTGTCCAAGCGATAAAGCACCGAGGTCAGAAGACACCTGCATTTCAGATTATTGGCCTTGCTTGAACTTGTAGTCGTAGTAGAGCTAGCATCAACAGGTGCAGAAATCACGTAGAATGTGAAAGTCTAAAGTGGGTGGTTATGTATGTTATGTGGCTGGCACCACTTTTTCGTGCATGCTTTAGGCAGTTCGACTCCATAGTTGTATTGCTTTTGGCATTCTTGTGGGCGAAGTCCGGCCTCATGTCAGATCGGCGCTGCGT